TGTGTGTGTGTGTGTGTGTGTGTGTGGCTGTGCCGTTCTGTGTTTCTCAGCCATTGTCCACGTGGGGCCGTCCATATACGATCAGTTACATTTCGTATTTGATAGATCTGGCAGGAAAATGGCATGCGCAGACACTCAGGTGGACGTGCTTTCAAGGGGTCTGAGTGTACGTTGGTTTTCGCAACCACAAATGAAAACAATGCAGCTTTCAAACATTTGTAATGGTATAAACATCAGGAATGATTCCTACTGATTGACCAATTGTTAGACTGATCTATTGTTTGATGAACTTTGATCCATTGCTGTCAAACCCACTGCAGACGTGGAAATTGATTGATTGATTCATTGATAGATTGATTGATTGATTGATCGATTGACAGATTGATTGGTCTATTGATTAACCTATCCGGGTCAAACCGGCTGCTTATTTAAATGGGAATCCTTTGAGAAGCCAAATACTCGAAAAGGTAGCGCAGGCCATTGTTTTGAAGGGATTCTCACACGAGGACTGATGTGGATGTATCTGACTGCTTTTACCGCCAGACCTCATGGTCGTTGTGCTGTTGTGATCCGAGGATGGCTAGCCACACTCCTGCCAGGGGATGCGCCGGATCAAACAGGTATAGATCGGGGGGAGCAGCTGGTGCACGAACGCGTGCAGGGGCCGGTGCCGCCTGCCCAGCGGGATTTGGCACAACATGTTGATTAGCATTGACTACTGGATTAGCATTCATGTTGGCCCCTTGTCGTCCTGCGGACCTACTCCGAGTGACTACAGGCTCCCGCGTCGGCTTGTTTTTATTTTGAGATCGTCCTCTACTTGGGCTCGCCAGATCGATCGGATATGGAGGCAAATTGCTTACTTAATCCTTAGACTGACATGTGTCCGCGCTCCTATACCAACCTCACGCCCAGCTCGACTTCCTGATCGGAGTGGGGAGCGGGTCCGGAAGTAGCGAAAAAGGGGGTGTGCCAAGGATTTTAGGAAAAAAGAGGTGAAGTCCCAGGTCGGAACTGGGGTCTCTGGTGTCAGGGTTCTAAGGGCGAGGATGCAAGATGCTCAGCCGAAGGTGGGGCTTCCCGGATTCTCGGAGCAGCAGGTCCAAGCAACACCTAGGGCAGGTCCCGAGGTGGTACTTCTGTCGTTAGCTTCGGCACAACCTCGGCGGTCGGTACATGCAATTCCAATCGAGAACAGATGTCGAATTCTATGCTACGGGTCCGTGCTGTCGCTGCCATTCCTATCCATGCAGACTGATACTTGCGAGCCAGACGGGGAGGATTATGCGATCGCGTGTATACGTGGTGGGCCGTGTCGTCGGCAAGTCGTAGCGTATGCACGAGCTCATATAAGTTCCCTTCATCAGACAATAAACAAAATGACCAACTTCACTGTTTCCCATAGATTCTAGTGAACCGGTGCCAGACATGCATCCATGCTCTCCAATCATAATCAGGAAGTGGGCATGCAAAAATAGAAACGACAAATGCCACAATTACCATATCCAACATCATTCATAAAGGAAAGAGATGTGAGAGGCACTCCGAAGAAAGAAAAGGATTTACACAATCAGATACCCATCTGCAATTACAAAAACGAGAACGACGAAACTCGCAGTTCCGAAATCGAAAGTTCTGAGAGGGCCAGGAGAGAAGGTCCCACACACCCCAGCACCCCACGCTCTCTCACTACTTCACCATCCCCCTTCTTGTTCCGATGTAGGTGGTCCGTCGCCTCGCACCTACCAGCAACTCAGAGGCGTCACCCCGCTTACTTCGAGTGCGCACGCCGGGCTCGCCCGTGCTCCACAGTCCGTCGTGGCCGCACGTCAACCCCGCACACTCGCAACCAGCTCGTCAGATCGCCCAACTCCAAACTCACCTCTTCGTCGGCTCCTACTTGTTAGCCGATCCTCTTGACCTCGCTAACCTTCTAAAGTTTGATTAGAGAGTGATTTAGTCACGCTTGCAAAATTTATAGCTATTAGCATTTGCGTGAGATCGCCGAGATTACGCTGAGGCAGGGGGAGAGAAGAAAAAAGTGTCTGCGGTCGGCATGCCTGGGCCGCGGCGTGGGGGACGTAGCCAATGAGATGAAGGGAAAGAAGCCGCAGGCTTCGGCGCAATGAGAAGCCAAGAACGAGAAAATTACAGTTACATCCGTACTCGTCGAGGAAGGAACAAGAAGAAATTACAGTTGAGATTAGAATTAAGGCGCGGCGGAAGTAGAGTGCGGGACAGAGCGCAGCAGAACACGCACGAATGAGGAGCACCGCACAGCTATGAAAAAAAATACGACGCCCCCAAAATCCTAGTCTAATTAGAGTCCTAATTTCGATCGCTCCCCTAACCTCTCGTATTCTTTCCACAGCGTTCAAAAATTCAAAAAGATTTTCCCGCGCGATGACCGCGCCTAAGTTCCCTGCCCAATTCCCAAGAGAAAAAGGAAAAAGCCACATCAACCGTTATTCCTGCGCTTGCTAAGGCGCGTCCTAAATATCCACCGCCATGGGACCAGGTTTTCACAAAACAAAGACGAAAAGAAGAAAAGAATGGGGCCACTTGCGCAACTTGATCATGCCCCTCCGCCCAACCCCCAAATGCAATCGCACGGAAAGTCGCGCTAATCAGAAGATAGATCGTCACAGTATGATTAACTATTTTTGGAAAAAGGTCAAGCTTGACCACTGTGTCGGTCGCCTGGTTGCTTGATTCTTCTGATTGACACGGGTCGCTCAGGTGGTTGGATGATTAACTACTTTTTTTTCTAAAAGGCAGAAAACCACAGCGTGTGTCGCTCAGTATATGTTTACCTTCTATGAAATGAAAGCACAAGGAGCTAAATAAGATAAAGGACAAATTATCGCATTTTGGTTGACTTTTTGAGGGAAAACGGTAGATTACAGGGTGATGGCATGTATCTCTTTTTGTAGGTTGGTTGCATAGATGCTCACCAAGTGATTGAGCCCTAGGAGTTAGTAAGGTGGGCCAGGTAGCTTGAGGTTCGATCGAACGTTAACGTTGTGCTTGAATTAGTAAAGTTTTGGAGGTCTACTTTCCAAGAGGAAGTATTGCCGGAATTTCTACTGAGTCGGGAACTTGGTCAACTTTCAGGAGTTTTGTTAAATTTTGCAACCCATGAGAGGTCCTATGCCCATGGGTATCGCGTAGTGCATTGCCATAACAACTAACCGTAAGACTTTTCATATTCGAAAGTTATGGTATCACTTGCATGTGGCCCTCAATATAAACGGATTCGCGTGATCCGCAACTCGTTGTCCCTACACTAAGTTATGGGCCGGAAAACAATGGACACTTAGGTTGAAGCATCGCAAGCTCGAATGTCCATCATAGTGAGTCAACCTTACGCACAAGCCAGCTTAGTAGATTAGTGCCTCGAGGTCCGACACATTTATACTTCAGTTTTAGGCATTCTACCGCACGTACACCTATGCTACAGCCGACGAGCAACGCCCTCGGCTGGCCCACTGCTGACACAAAAAGTCACCACATGTGGGTCAGTAGCTCGGTGGGGAATACGCCTACCTAAGGTTGGTGACAGATCCTTCGGTAGAGGTAAATTGTGCCTCGCTGGACCCTATTTTGCCATAGGGGACCGTGAGAGGTATAGTTGGTGCACTCAGCCGGAGCAGTATTTCGCAAGCTAATATCTACTAATCCTGCATGGCATGACCAGGAGGGTCCCCTCGTGCGTGCGCACCTAGGGACCAATGCGCTCGACAGCAGCGCCTGTCCCACGCAGTTCCAGCTCTCGTGTGGGCCCGTTTTGCGAGACCCGGGTTAACTTTACAAAGAGTATAGATAAAAGAAAAAGGGAAAAAAAGCAAAAAGAGGAAAGAAAGAAAGAAACATGAGCAACGTGTGCCCCAAAAGTTAACATGTCGAACATTTTGGTGGACATCCATCAAAATTGGAATACCAAAGAGAAGCTTAGCATGGTCCCTGCCCAAGCGTGACATAAATGATCGCACCATGACTGTTTTCCGCAGATGGTAAGGTAAGCATCATAATGCTGCCAGTCCACCTAGGACTGTGGTCTAAAACAAAATTGGGGCATCGGGCCCTATGCCCTATACATGGGCCTGCGCCATGGGCTCTGGGCCTAGATCTCAGGCCTAGGATGCTGGGCCCTGTGCCCTGGGCCTAGGCCAAAGCCTTGACCCCATAACCTGTCTTGCGTAATCGGCCTAGGCTCAGACCCTGAGCCCTGGGCCTAGGCCTACCAGAAACCGCACGTTATCGCATCTTTTTCTTTGGGTGGGGAGGGGCATGGCAGTAAATTCTGAGCTCAAAATGCATTTTATTCGAAAAGCGGAGCAATAATCAGCCAATTTGTGAAAATTGGCCTAGAGGTTCTGGACACCTACCTTTTGTTTTGAAATGCTTCTCTGCCAGCACAGACTAAGGGCCAAGCACAACTAGAACCTATCTCTCCGTCTTTGTAAAGGAATCCAAGGGTCACAAACTAATTGGTATACTCCATTGCCGATAACAGCCATCAGAGCTTAAAACTAGACATGGTGAGCTCTATAGGGCATGGCCCTAAATGGAAAGTGCTCACAGCCTTCCTTGTTTCTGTTTTGAAAACGGGTCAGTCACTGACCAAGGCGGTGGGCTCTTCTCCTCCTCATAATACCAACCAAATATAGTGTCATTAATTCCACCTCATTATGAGCTCTCTCTCTCTCTCTCTCTCTCTCTCTCTCTCTCTCTCTCTCACACACACACACACACACACACACACACACACACACACACACACACACACTACATAGTGAAAAGACTTGGCCATTGAACCCTTTCTTGGGCAGAAAAAGAGGGGAGGCCGAAAAACAAAAATCAAACAATCACAAACCTTGACGGATAATTGGACTACAGTAAAAATTGGAAAGAAAAGAATTCAAACAATCACAAACCTTGACCAATCCTCCTGCTAGCGGTTGAAAGTGAAGTGAATTCCCACAGATAGATGCAAATAACCCTCCTTCTGCAAGCCTCACCAGCGGGCCTGCATATCCCAAAGCATACCTGGCAAGCAGAAACGTGAAACAAGGGGCAGAAAAGTCAAATAAACTTCATGAATGAGAGTAGGAATACCACACTGAAGTCAAAATTGCAATGAGACCACCATGCATGGGACACTCGAACACCAGTCTCTCATCACATCACATGCACATGAGGCACGCAGGAGGTAAGAAGTCCGAAAGTAGTCTCAATTCTCCCCTACTACAGCTACGGCTATGGCGCCCAGCGTCGTCGACAACACTACTCTACGCTCCCTCTCGCTCCCTCAGTCTCCTCTCCAATGCACAAGACCCCAGCAGCACTTCCGCATTAAGTGCAAAACACAGTGTGTTGACGTCCAGATGCTGCTGGACTTTCATACTCGCTGGTCCGCCTTCCAGGCGTCTTCTGCTGGTTATGGGTTGGTTCCCTTGCCTTTGTTTGCTGCTTCCGGAAGCTTACGGATTCTCCTAGGATCTGGCTGCTTAGGTGGACCAGGACTAATTTGGGTGGTTCCGGAGATTCTGACTTTTCTCAAATTTGCCTCACTTTTCTTGCTCCAACCACTGCTTTTAAGCGAGACATACCTTACCTTCTGTTTCATCAAAGTCGTTCTTCGACTTTCGCGTGCTGCAGCACAGGTTGCGTGCCCCCTTCGCGTAAATTTTACTTTGAAGACTGAAGTTCAATGGCAAAACTTGGTCTAACGACCCTTGTGGCCTTGGCTGAAGTTTATGGTGCCTTCTAAAAATAGACTCCCTAACCCATAATCGTTATCTATCAGGAACTTCCTACCACGATCTAACCCATAATTGGCTGAAGTTTATGGTGCCTTCTAAAAATAGACTCTCTAACCTGCCTAAGCAACTGTAATCATGGTACAACATAAAGTACTCTGGAGCATCCGTGAGTACTGTGCACGTGACTGGAACCACTAGTGGAACACGGAATGGGGCTTGAGACTAGGAGAGGGGACTTGGGACTGGGACCCGGAACAGCAACTCGGGACTGAACAACAAGGGTACCGAGATCCGCGAACCATTTCAGACAAAAAGAAAAATAGTAATAATAATAGCATACTCCAGTCTAACCAGAGACCTCACAGTCTTCACAGACTCCCTAACAGACCGCACTCTCGGATGCTCGCTGTAGCCTCCACCCATCTTCACCCGAATATAACGACCAGGCATCATAGCTGTATTTGGGCCAGCTTCCAATCAAGATACAACTATAAACCAGGCATTCTTTTCGGGTGAAGACAGCAGGGAAGCAATCCCATCCCAGAAGTATTCCTCTGAAAACAAAACTGAAAAGAAACAGGAAAAAAATAAAAAAGAGATGCGAACATTTATATTCGAACCACCAAAATCGCATAGATCCTTTTCCCTGTGGGTTGGGGTTGAGGGGGGTGTAGCAAGGGGAGGGTGGGGAGCGGGGTGGGGGAAGGTGTTGGGAGGGGGGTGGGGGGGGAGGGGGAGAGAAGTGGGGGGTGGAGGGGTGGTGGAGATGGGGGGGAAGGAGAGGGAACATACAACCACTTAGTGTCCATGTTATTATAGACAGGAAGCTTTTTGCCTGGTGGTTTAGGCCAGGCCCCACTGTGACGCCCAACCTCATGCCCAGCGCGACTTCCTGATCAGAGTGGGATGTGGGCCTGGAAGCGCGAAAAGGGGTGTGCCAAGGATTTTTGGGAAAGTGGAGTTCCAGGTAAGAGCTGAGATCTCCTGTGGCAGGATCGTTCGGAGGCACGAGTGCAATTTGGCGAAGAGATGGCGCACGCGGGTGGCTTAAGGTCGGGCGAGCCATTGGTTTCGGGGACGGCGGTTCGCGGGCGGGTCCGTTTGGGATAACTGGGGTTCCGATGAGTCAGGCCATCGGGAGTTGCCACGTGGCGCTGGTCGCCTGACGTTCGGGTCAGGCTTCCGGAACTCCGAGGTTCTCTGATCGCCGCGTCGTCGGCAGTTCCCACAGGGTGTGTTGGGCCAGTAGAAGGCTATGGCCGGCCACGAGACGACGCTGAGTTGATGATACGGAAGAAGAAGGCGAAAGGGAGGGAAACTGGTGGTGATAACGACAAATCCGGGGTGGATGAAGTAGTAGGTATGGTCCGGAGAGGGGAAATCAGAGCACCGGGAGTCGTTAGTGGTGGCGCAGTGAAATTCCCGGGGGCACAGTCGGTTCTCAGTTAGGCAGGGGTATCTCCGTCTCAGAATCTCGTTTATCCAAGGGGTGAAGTAATCCGGGTTGTATGATGAGTCAGAATTCCAGGATCGCCCCATTGTGTCATTGCGGTGTTACGAGTTGCCTAAGGGCGGGTCCGTGGCGATTGCAATTGCCGCGTGCGAGCACGTGCAGGCGACGCGAATGGCGTCGGACTTACGCGTGCTCGTGCGGGACGACTGCGCCGTTGCGGATTCCAGGATGGCCACTCCCAATTGGACAGGGCATCTGCGATCGATGGTCCTGACGAGTCGACGCCTGGGGATACGTGTAAGTGCGCAACTCAGATCGCGTTTTACATGTGTCCTCGCGCGGCGTTCGCCAAGCCCGACATCCGATCGTCTAATCACTCCGTGCTGTTTTGAGCATGCAAGATGCAACGATCACAATCAGCTCAATCAAAAGACAAGCAAAGACAAGGACAAGATTATCGATTGCGCAGAATTCTTATTCTACACACGAGTGCATTGAATGCGACACACAAAAGCAAAGACAAGGGTTCCCAGCAAAAAGATATGCAATCAAACATGGCATCCATACATCCATCCATTCAGTAATCATACACATAACACATCAGAGGTGGAAGAATCGCGAGGGCAAATGTGAGCAAAAAAACAAGCCCAGATTCCGAGAAACAGAAAACGGGCAGATCGGCCATAGCCGAAATCAAAATTTATATACACGAGACAGGGGGGGGGGGAGAAAAGATGAAAGAAACAGCAACTCCACGTTCATCAACCTCAACTCTCTCTCCCTCGCTCTTCTTCTCCGATGCGGACAGTCCGTCGTCGCGCACCAACCCACGAAGCCGTCACCCCGCTTGGTCCTCCCGCACCCGTCAGGTTCGCCCGCGCCCACAGCCCGTCGTGGCCCACGTCAACCTCGAGCATTTGGCACCAGCTCGTCGGGTCGCCCGACTCCTGCTCTACTCACCTCTTACTTCGCTCGTGTGCCGACCCTCTCTGATCGCGCAACCCCGAGCTTCCAACAGCTGGTTAAGAGAGCTAACTAGTCGTGCAGCCGGAATTTATAGCGTGCATGCGTGCGCGAAGAACACGGAATTACCAGGACTTAGAAGAAGGGAAGGGGGAGGGATTGCCTACATCTGCATGGTCTGATCGCGGCGTGGGGGACGTAGTCGCTCTCCACGCATCGATCCGATCATGCAAAACGCGGCTATCAAAAACGCAGCAAAAGAAAGAGAAAGAGGGCGGGAAAGACGAAGCGCAAGAAGAAAGATACAGTTACAATGGCGCCCGCCCAAAATTACAGTTACACACACGATTAAAGGCGCCTACTAATCAGAGTTCCGTTGCAGCCGCATAAAGAAGCGCGTAGACAAAAAGCACTGCGCGGCAAGGAAAATCCTAATTACGAAATTCCTAACTTCCTATCTATATTGCGAAGAAACAAAAAGCACAAATTCCAGAAGAAAAGTCCGAAATTCCGAGAGCCATCGGGGCTCGACAAAATTCGAAAAAGATTTTTAAAAAAAAATCAAAAAGAACGAAGCAAATTCCCGCGAGATGTCCGCGCCCAAAAGTTTGGAACCGAAACAAAAGAAACGACGTCAACACTTATCAATCGAGCGCGCCGTGGCGCGCCAGCCATCCGGCCAACCAATCAATCAACCGGCCGTCCCAGGACACACCCAGCTCCGAACCCAGCCATTCGAAAAGAAGCGACGAAAAAGACGAAAAAGCAAGGACACTGATGCAATTTCCCACCGATCCCGATCTCCCATAATTGGTCCAACCTTCCCAACTTAGGACCCCTCATTGCAACCGCGCAGAAAGTCGCGCGTTACAGAAAGTGGTTCGTCACACCACTGGTGTTGGGTTTGTGGTAAGATAGCATGAACCTTGGCAACGTTTATGACCAGGGGGAACTTTGGTCTAACGGCTATCAGCCCCACAAGAAGGCATTTGAATGGCAGAATACACACTCTCCAAAAGGAATTAGAACCCTACCGACTGTTTGTCGTGCTCTCACAAGCTCATCAGGAGGAGGCGGAGGTTGAGCCTTGGAAGTTTGCAAACTCCGTCCTTATGCTGTAGGTGGGCACCAACTACTGCCCTGCTTCTAATTACCCAAGGACCACCTAGCCACTGCCCTCCACAATGTGTCCATGTTTTTAAACCACTAGTACTTGGCCCAGCAATCGACCATGCAAAAAAAAAGAGTAGAAACGTTTCTAGTCGGATGAATTTGGGCCCTCCTGTAGTCCAAATAGGAAAGTAGGACTAACTTTTCATGCCGGGCAAGCTCGGGGGGGTCACTTTTTCTGCGTTTCCAGTCGTATGAATTTGGGCACCGTCCTTGTCCATGTACAAATAGGCTCAGTGCGAGGGGTGGTTGGAAAACACAAGGCCGGCGCCCTTGAGGTATCATCATCCAACTGGCCCACTCCAGGCAATTTAGAATTATTTTTGTTCCTCTGATTCCATCAGGATTCGAACTTACGTCCTTATACCAACAGTTCATGAGCGTACCATTCAGCCACATGGGGCTCCACAATGTATCTATCGTCCCTTTTCTTCACCCCCCCCACCCCCCCCCTCCACCGGCAAGCATAAACATAATGATACATAAAGCAATGACAGTGTGAGCCTCCATGACTGTCATGGGTGTGAACAGGGAGCACGACACTAAGGAAGTACGCAGTTCTACCCTATCAGCAAACACACACAAAAAAAAGCACTCTTGTAGCCCATAAAGCACTGCCTTACTTCCTAGAGTAAATGTAACCTGTCAAAATTTGAGAGGTTAGCTAGAAGCCTAGAATGATAGATTCACTTAGAATTGGAGTATGAGTGTGTGTTGATTGCCGTGTCCGTGTCCGTGTCCGTGTCCGTGGTGTGGTGAGGTGTGAGTTCAAGGGTGCTACAGCCTTGGGGGTGGGCTGGATATCATGACCGGTATGGATCCAGTTTTTATATTACCTCCAAGGGTTGCAGTGGTTACGAAAGACGTCGTTCCTGTGGCTGAGGGTGCCGGTTCGAGGCCCCGAGCGTGCACGGCGGGGAGCCTGATGCCCTAAATGTACATTGATCGGTAACCGCTATGTAGACAAAACTGTGTAATAAATTAATAAATAGTAATCTAATAAAATTAATATGTGCACAATCATGTGTAAAATGGGATGGGGTGTAGCTCAGTTGGTACATCCCCCCTGAACTGGACTGTTGAAATACAGACCAGGTGCTGAGTTCAAACTCCATTGAGAGCAGATGACTAAAATACCACAATTCTGAACAACCTAGGGGTGGTCAGCTCAATAATGATGTCAACGCCGTTGCCCTTTCTAAAACAAAACAAAACAAAACCGGAAAAGAAAATCGGATGGGGCCCAGTTTAAATATTAGTTAGGCCCCTTCCACCACAGTTTTAATTTCTTTTTTTTTTCCTTTTTTTTTTTTTACCACTGTTTTCATTTCAACTTTCACAAAATTAATAATTATCATCAGGAGCATGAAGCTCAACAGCCTCGCCCGCACATACCCATAGCTTGCCTTGGGCTCTCGACGCTACATCCCTAACTCTTGGGCCCTACACTCTCTCTCAGTCATCGATCTCAAACGCTAACCCCTGAAACCTACACTCTCCTTACAAACCCTAAAGCCTACACCCTAGTCCCAAACCCTAAACCCTACAAGCTAGTCCCAACCCCTAAACCCTACACCCTAGTCCCAATCCCTAAACCCTACAAGCTAGTCCCAACCCCTAAACCCTACACCCTAGTACCAGCCCCTAAATTGTCTACCGCAAGGGCGTGGGGAACGCAGCCCCAAAAGCCCCTAATTAACACTGACTACCCCAAAACCCAGGGACACGTGCCAAAGGGCTCGCAAGAACCGGGTCCCAGACCTAAGGCGCCGAAGGCGTCATTTGAGTCTCTCTACGTCATTTGAGTCTCTCTATAGACTAGATAGGCCGAAGGCGCCCTAGGCATATTTGTATTGGAAGATGTGCCACTCCAAAAATAGTCCATGTCAGGTTGGCGAAAACACACAAATGCTCGACCATACCTTCTCGGCCTTTGGGCTAAAAATAGATCGAGTGCATTGTATCTGTTCTGAACAGTTTGATATCTGATCCTGGTGGTCCATTGGGCCACAATATTAAAACAAAATTAAACAAAAAATGCTCGACCCAGCCCATGTGGCTGAATGGTACACACATGTAATTGTTAGTAAACAGATCATGACTTCAACTCCTGATGGAATCAGATGAACACAGATAATATGCTTGCCAAGCCACATGCGATCCCTACACGGTGCTTTATGTCAGCATCCAGCGGGTGTAATAGAACCAGTTTAAGCTCGTGTAGTCAGCCTTTGTG